ACTTCATTCACGTGTTCCACTTCCAAAATGAAGTCAACAGAGTTCACGGCGTTCCTTTCAAGTTCCTTCTCATTGAGGTAAGTGCATTCAAAAACACATTCGCGCGTTTGGTTTCGTGCTTTTTTACTCACGCAATATCAAGGGCGAGAAATTTGCCGACACCAAGAAGAGACTTGAGAAGAGGACGGGTATCAAAGGCAAGAGCTTTGAGAAGATCAAGTTTGCTATTGCAAGGAGGGCAAACTATTCAAAACCACAATATCTTAATGATGGTTCGTTCACGCTCACAACCAATGACAATGATTTCCTGAAGCTAACTGCAATTCATCACGCAGACGACGAATTATGGAACATAGCCTCATCCGAAGATGACTATCTTGGTTTCGATCATCCGGATAGAACAAGATCCTTGAGAAACGGCGTTGGGGACCTTTTCCTTCGTTAGGCGACGGTATACAAGCTAAGCTCGTGTCGACGATGCAACACGTGGCAATGTGGAAAGACTTGGTGAATGGCTCTAGGAGTCCTTGGTATATCTCGTTTCATACCCATCAACCACACCGACGTGGTTTGCGTCTTTATCATGAGACAGTGGGCGTTTTCTTATAGCTGTTTTTGCTTCTTGCTTTTTTAGCATGCATGTGGCGACGCATGAAATGCAGGCGAACGGTGGATGAGATTTGTTTTGATACAATATCAATACAATGAGCATATTGGATTGAAGTGGTCTGTAGCATTGGCTCTGATAACTATATGTTTGTTCTCAAGTCTCTAGTACAGCTATTGTAGTATTATCAACACAGATAGTCCAAAATTATTATAAACGCCTCGTGACTGTATGAGATGGGAATACACAGCATCTTCTTCACGACGCTCTTGTGTCCTCCAAATCTCTTTTTCCTTTTTCCATTTACAACTCTATATCCAACTTTGAACGATTCCCTAAGCTGGTCTTCAGTAGCATGTGATCAATGCCAGCCAGCCTTTTCATATAATAACACATCAATTCCCATTTCATATCATAGAAGCCTTTTACCCAGGCTTTGTGTGTACCATGTTCGTCATCAAACCTCAAGGGACTGTTGTTTGGCCAACCAGGCCAGTCGTCTATATCAAGTTTCGCACACACTTCTAATTTTTTGTCTTCGTCTTTTCGTCATACTTGTGCATCCCATTATTATTTCATTCGTTCTCATGGTGGTACTTGGCCAGTGGTCCCCGCTCAATCTCCTCGACGGAAAGATGGGCGCCGGCAGTCTTGAGGAGCTGCGCGCAGTCATGTTTGCCGGACAGGGTTGCCAGGAAGAGGGGCGAGTTGTCTGCTCTGTTGCGCTCGTGGACGCTGGCGCCACGCTTGAGAAGCTCGAGCATGATTTCAGTGTTGCCTGATACCGCGGCCAGGTGGACAGCGGTGTTTCCTGCATAGTCGGCCGTCTTGAGGAGTTGGCTGCCTTCGCCTTCGAGGAGCTGCCTGACCACGTCTATTTCACCGTTCTGGATGGCGTAGCCGAGAGCCGTAAAGGCAGACTCGGTGGCTGTGAGGCGAGAAGCGGCATCGATGGGAGGTGTTGGGTGAGAGAAGCTGGGATGTGCAATCTCCGTCATCTCACCACGGAGCGAGCGCGAAAACCGGGCTGCAATGTCCTTTTGGGTGAGGTTGGGGAGGGCGAGGAGGTGAGAGAGCTTGGCGAGGGCTGCTTCAGCCGTGAGATCGAGGCCGAATATGACGCCCATGCGACCCAGCTGGGTTCCTGGAGCGTAGACTGGGGATACGAAGCCGTTTACGCATTGGCTGACGTTGACAACGACGATGCCTCTGTCGACGGCGGAACGAATCACTTCCGTGAGACGGCCATCGACGCCACCTGGGACGTTTCCCATACCGAATGTCTCAAGGATAAGACCCCTTAGGTCCGGAAGGTGAAGAACAGCATCGACCATTTCGGGCTTGATGCCGGGGAAGACACGCAGACACGCAACGTGGGTTGTGTCGAGGTGCTTGAAGACGTCGAACTCTGCAATGGTGGTGGGCCGAAGAACCAGATGCCAATTGACATTGATGCCAAGGCCATTGACCTTGGCCAGGGGCTCATAGTTGGGACTGGCAAAGGCATCAAAGGACGTGGCCGAAACCTTTGTGGTGCGGTTTCCACGGTACAGCGTGTCGCGGAAGAAGAGACACACTTCAGGGATGACGAAAGTTCCGGCGATGATGAGCGAGCCGAGCAGGTTGTCGACGGCATCGGACTGGAGAGCAAAGATGGGAGCCTGGGAGCCGGTAAGGATGACGGGCTTGCCCAGGTTAGCCAGCATGAAGGAGAGGGCAGAGGCCGTGTAAGCCAGCGAGTCGGTGCCGTGAAGAATGACGAAGCCGTCAAAGAGGTGGTAGTTTTCCTTGATGGCGGTGGCCATGTTGGCCCAGTCGTTGGCGGAGATGTTGCTGGAGTCGAGCAGGGGGTCGAATTCCAGGACGGAGTAGCGGACGTGTCTCTGGTAGGCGGTTGGAGGTGTTCTGAGGCTGTCGAGCTGGACGAGCTGGCCGCTGCGAGAGGCTTGCAGCTTGACTTTTTCGTATTAATGTCAGCCGGTGTGTTTTTTCAGTCTGAATATGAATCCATGCATATGCTTGTATAATTCCAGGACAAAGTGTATACTAGGTATGAGGCTCACTCTCATCTACTACAGCATATACAATAAAGATGAAGCAAACATAGAGAATAAAGCAAACTCACCACTTGGTTCTGAATTATCATTAAATGTCGGTCTAGGAGCCATTGCACTCTCTAGAAATCCATCGCTGGGCGCAAGGCCATCGGGCCCTTCTTGCATGCATATCGTGCCTCCGGTGCCGATGATCAAAACCCGGGACTCGGGGAGTCCGGCGTTGAGGGGAGGCGAATCGGTGATGGCGGGCGACATGAGATGCTGTAGATGATGAGTTTGTTTGACTGCAGATGAAAAAAAAGATGAAAAAAAGAAGATGTCTAGGTGATGAAAGTAATGGAATAATTGGCAGAAAATAAATTGACACAAGAGATTGAGAGATTCAATGTCAAGTGCGGAAGGTCACTCTTATCAATGGCGGTTCTGGCCCCCGTAACATGTACCCCAGATAAGGGAAAAAAAGGAAGCACGAAAAAAAAGGGACTAAGAAAAAGAGGAGGCCCAACGGGGTAATACAAAGCTACTGCCAATTACGAAAAATTCTCGTCATGCGGACAAGGGAAAAATAAACGAAAAAAAAGAGCCAGGATAGCAAGGAGAAGAGGAGAAAAGTTTGATAAGAATTTAGTCATAGCAAATGTCGGCATGTGCAGCCATTTTGCTGTTAAAAGTCTAGCACGAGAGGAAGAGAGGCGACGGAGTGGATACGAAGGGGTAATAGAATCTCAGGAATCGGAGGCTGCGTGTTATCATGTGGTTTTTCTTCGGGAGTTTACCGTGGTTTCTGTGACTTGAAAGGATTTATTGATTTTGTGTTATCGGCGGCTATGCATCTAGACGAGAAAATGATTCGGAAAAGATTCGACAAACATGTGAGAGGGGGGTGCAAAGAGTTGGGCGGAATAAGGCCTGTGAACCTGTATATATGGAGTACGACATGTTATCGTTGCAGCCAAATCTCAGAACAAAAGGTCGTATACCTACTTACCGCCTTACTAATGGATCAAAATGGCACTAAACATGCCCAAATACGGCGGCCTTCCCCTCGCGTAGCAGCGGCTTCGGGCTCGTTCCGTATTAGCCATGGCAGCTTATAGGCCCAACCCAGATCTGGGGGAGTTTCCACGGGCGCAAATGATGCAGTAGTGGTGGCAGTAGTAGTATCAGCGTCTGGCCGGGCCTCAGGGGTGCAGCGAGATTAGTACGAGTAGATGCAGATGGCCGAGTACAGGTATAGGTACACGTCCACCAGCAGCAGATTAGCCGTGTCTGCAAGTATAGTACCTGCTTGAACCCTGCCATCCATCGTCTCCATTCGGCATGTCCCCAACATTACGGAGTACAGTACAGGTGGTATTGTGCTAAGGGGACCTTACGTCACTTGGGCCCTGAGAGTCAAAAACTTGATCTGCTTGGCCATCAACGAGGGAAGATGGATGACGCCTAATTCTAACACCGTATACAGAGTTCCTTGCAGTCTGGAGTTTCACAGACTTCATATCCATCATAAGTTAATGGAATAAGAAATAAATGAGGGGGGTGACTAGGCTGTAATTCAGTGCCCCAAATTGGCTGTCTTGAGTCTCGAATTTAAAGCTACCTTAACTTAGTACTAGGTACTAAGGTGGTAATGATATCAGCTGCTGGAGGAATAGGTAGTAGCAAAAGTAGCGACAGTAGCAGATACTCAAAGAACCATGCGTCTACTTGAGTAATAGTAAGAAATATTGTTTCCTCTACGTCTTGTTACGAAATTTGACCCGAAAGAGAGCCGGTACAAAGGATAACGCAGCTTGCTGTCAACGAAGTACCGCACAGGCACATGCACCTTCCCGCAGCTATATGCTGTCCCTACAAGTACAATTCAGGTACAGCTCCACCAGGCTCTTTGTCACATCCGATTGGGATAAGCGCGAGCCCTCAACGCCATCTTCCTTGACTTTCTACTCAGCGCCGATTCAATTCGCGGAATCAACCTTTTTTCCCTAACCCTTCTCTTGCTTTGACGTCTCTCCTCTTCATTTCTCCTTCGCCAGGACCATCGCAGCTCTTTGACGACAACAGCAATCAGATTAATAATTCTTTGCTCCCAAAGCATTTCGTTAAGCCACCATTTGTTCGCCATCCGCTTCTTCGACGGCGCTCTTGCGGGGGGTTTCAAAGGCCCAAGACAGACAACGATGCGCGCCCACCACACCACGACTTTCCCATAAAACGCGCTCCATTCACCCAATACAAGCGTCGCCCAGTTATTCTCCCTCGTCTTCAGCCCTATTTGCTACTTCTTCCGCCTCCCCGTCATATTGCGATTCGGCTCGACGAACCCGGCGCGCGTCATGGATCGACCCTCCGAAACAGCCCCCGATGGCACTTCACCACGAACCTTTGCCCTTAATCACAGCAGGCCAAAGTCCAGCTTCCAAGGTTGCTCGCGGATATCCGACTATGAACTGCAGGGGAAATTGGGCGAGGGTACCTTTGGGTATGGCAGGCCCCTGTCCTTTCGCATCCCCAAAGCTAAAAATGGGAAGCTAATGCAAACAATTATACTATAGTGAGGTCCATCGCGCTCGATCCCGCAAGACAGGCGCACTCGTCGCCTTGAAGAAGATTATAATGCACCATGAAAAAGACGGTGTAGGTGGCGGCATCAGGCATATCAACCCGCTTTCTCTCCTCTGACCTGCTTCAGTTCCCCATTACCGCTCTACGAGAAATCAAGCTGCTCAAGTTGCTGTCTCACCCAAATATTCTAAGACTGGAAGACATGGCTGTAGAGCACCCCACGAGGCAGAGTGAGTATTTCGCCATGCCTTTTTATTTTATTTTCACACTCTTCTCTTTTCCTCATGGCCCCTTTCCTCTGCTTTCTCGTGCCTCTTTTGTTCTGACAGAGTTCTATGCAGCCGACAAGCGCAAGAAGCCCATCATGTACATGGTGACACCATACATGGATCACGACCTTTCGGGCCTTCTCGATAATCCATCTGTCCACTTCAAAGAGGCTCAGATCAAGTGCTACATGCTCCAGCTACTCCAAGGCCTGCGCTACCTTCACGAAAGTCACGTCCTCCACCGAGATATGAAGGCTGCCAACCTTCTCATCAACAACAAGGGCATTCTCCAGATTGCTGATTTTGGCCTGGCCCGCCACTATGATGGACCGACGCCGCGAGCCGGCCATGCTGTTGGAGAAGGCCGGCGAGACTACACCGGGTTGGTTGTTACTAGGTGGTACCGTCCGCCCGAACTTCTGCTTCAGCTAAGACGTTATACCCCCGCTATCGACGTTTGGGGTGTTGGGTAAGAAACGATGCTTCTTTTTAATTTTTGCACCTCGCCTTCTTGTTATCATCTCTTTAAGGAGTGTTGTTAGTTCAAACAAGGCTAACTCGATGTAGCTGTGTTTTTGGAGAAATGCTGTTCGGCAAGCCGATTCTCGCTGGAGAGAGTGACGCTCACCAACTCGAACTCATCTGGGATCTCATGGGCTCGCCTACTGATGAGAATATGCCGGGGTGGAAGAGCCTACCTGGAGGCGAACATTTGTCTCCCAGGTCACGACCGGGAAATCTTCAAAGCCGCTTTAGGGAGTATGTTGTCAAGCTTCCCCATGACTGATTATACGCGACTAACACGTTTCCTTTAGGTACGGCTCTGGAGCAATTGCTCTACTAAAAGATTTGCTGAAACTGGACTGGAGAACACGGATTAATGCTGTAGATGCCTTACAACATCCGTACTTCAAGAAGGAACCGCTACCAATGGAACCACACCAGCTCCCAACTTACGAAGAAAGCCATGAGCTTGATCGCAGAAAGTTCCACGACCGCAAAGCTGCCCTACCACCAGCCCCCAAGGGAGGAACGGTTGGTCTGGGTCCCGACGCAAACGGAGCAACTGCCGGGTTCAACAGCAACGACGCATACGGCGGTCGAAGTGGCCCCAATGGGGGACGCTTCAGGGGTGGCGGTCCCGACGACAGGCGACCTGCTTGGCGGGATCGAGAGCGTGGGCCATCGTCCCGCCCTCCTCAGGATCGACCGCCAAACTGGGAAGATGCTGACCATCGGGATCGAGATCGAGGAGCGCCTCGCAACCGCGGGCCGGGCCGTGGACCAGATATAGACACCTATATTCCGAGCTATGGGCGCGAGGAGGCGGGAGGTCGGCGCAGGGATGACGAGCGGCCTCGTGATGACCGACGGCGCCCTACCAGCAAGGACAGTAGGCAACGATACGATAGAGAGCGACGAACAAGAAGTCGAAGCCGCTCGCCGATACATGATAGGAATCGCGATCGAGACATGTATCGACGATGAATACGACATAGGACCGTCAACATACACGCATAGATATATCAACCATGTATATGGTTATGGATGATTGGCTTACACTCCAGCCATTTTGCACTTTTATGATATCCCATGGAAATAGTTCCCTTGACAGAATTTCTTGTTTTACGGGGGTTGGAATGGCGTTGGAGGCAACAGAGGAAGGATGTAAATGGTCGAGCTTGAGGATGCTTGCTACTTACTGCTACCTCGGTCTTGGCAGCAATAGTTTGGATGAAGAGAGTTACCATCACGGAAGAAGGGATAATAACACTGCATATATAAACGCGAAGGGGGCCGCTTAAGAACGCCGGCAAAGCATTAGAAATGCACAAGTAGCTATTGTAAACCCGTGAGGGAAGACAAGGAGAAGAAATCATATATCAGAGTCGTCCTCTTCTTCAAGAATCGTCTGTGACAGAAGCCCAGTTGCAGGGCGGCGCCGTGAGGGAGAGGGATCAGGCCAGTACCACTCGCCCTCATTGGAGGACGAATCATCTTTGAGGGATGGCGTTGAGAAGGACGACAATGATTTCTTGCCTTGGGAAGCACGAGAGCGAGGTCCTTGGCTGGTGCTGCCGTTATCTTGCATGCCGAGGTATGAAGTGATGACGCTTGAGGATGTGGCCAGGGTGAAGCCAGCGAAGATGCCGACGGCTGCTGCAGTGGCGAGCTATGAAGAATGAATTAGCCGTGGTGTTTCACTTACATTGGACTTGGGGATGGTTTCTTTTTGTTGTTGGGCTTCTAGTTTGATATTTTTCAATATTTTTAAATGAAGACGTACAAATGTGTATAGTGGCTATATCTCAGATACACAAAAAGCTGTCAGCAACCACACTCTCACTAACACGGTAAGGCGATATAATGGAGGCTATGAATAACATGTGACATTTAAAGTCACAGGGGGGGGGGGGGGGAAACGCACCTGTAGAGCAATGATGAAATCAAAGATGGCACGAAACCAACTGGTTATATACGCAACCAGATATATCGCCGGCGCAAACACGATGCGCAGGGCGCTCAGGAGATACGACAAGGGGATGGAGACGAGTCGCAAGGGGAAGATCAAGATGCGGCCGAGAAAAGAGACGACACGGAAGACGGGGCGGAGGTAGTCGAGAATGGCGGAGACGTCCATTTTTTAGAGAGCACGTATGTACGGCATGAGGGCGAAGGTTTTTTGAGGGTGAGGGTGGGAAGAAGTGGTGAGAGGTAGGTATGGAAAGGTGGTGGTTAGGAATTCAAGGGTACATTGCGTGAGTGAGTTCCAGTTGTGGTATGAGTTGATGTTGGAGGTGTGGCTGGTGAGGTGTGGCGGAGCTAACCTGGAGCTTTTGGGTGCGGAAGATGCGTGGGTTGGGTTCGGGTTTGGGGGTATATGACTTTGTTAATTTATTGGACTTGTTGAGATATTTGAGATTTGATTAGCTAGTATTGGTTGGGAGTACGGTGCTGCTTCAGTAGCGGATGGTGTATATTTGTTGTTGTTGAAGAAGTGGCGCATGAAGTTGTACTCAATATGAATACAGGCCGTAGGTTTCTGGGGAGTCACCAGAAGAGACCCTCTAACTACTAGGTACCTAGGTATTGTAATACCTGACGACATACCTAAGGTACTAGGTAATTACTTGCATATTCCAGAAGAACCGTGACGGCAACTGAGTTTGGACGTTAACAGGTATAAGCCACCCGGGCCATCTATAACAGCAAACTGACAGGTGCTACTCTTTCTCCAAAGCTCTGTCAGGCTAAAGTTCCGGTTGTTAATAAAGTGTCGTCATGACAGGACCAGCCAAGAAAATGTCCCGGATGTGGATAGCACGCTTGCAGCTCAGGTACAGGAAACCTCCACCTCACACCGCCAGCAAGTGTCCACTCTCCGTACCCAGTACCCCATCACAAACTCGTGCTGCACCCAGCGGTACCTACGCAGTACTTGGCAAACCGCAGATAAGAACAGCACATTCCCCCACCCCAAACCCCCCCAATGGGCTCGATCCTACTGGCCAGCTCCCGCTCCAGTTCCTCCAACCCACGATCGTCTGCTGCACGACGGGCTGCCACGGCACAGGCGAGACGACACGACAGCTGAAGGAGAAAAAAAAAGGAGGAGGAACCCCCACGAGCGTCCCGTGTAGGCGCTGCATGCAGAAGCCCGAAAGAGGAACCCGGATAGAGGAGATTAGACATCAGCAAAAGGGCCCCTCTCGCGCGCTTTGAGTGTTTGCCTCGGGAATTTCCACCCGGGGCCCAGATCTGGACGGGAGTGATTGATTGATTGACTGATTGATGGACTGGTTCGATTGACTGCCGGGCCCTGTTTGATCGTTTGATCGTTTGATCGTTTGATCGCTTGATCGGAACTCGCCGCGCGCACAGGACGGACACAAGACAAGACATCGACCCTTACTACTACTACTACTACTTGCCATTCGGCCCCCAAAAAACACCACCGTCTAGAGCCGATCTAGATGCCCTCTTGACCCAGACAGACACTTCACGACATCGAGATCCCTCATTCCCCCCACCGCCGTTTCATCCTCTCAGCACGCCGCAATCCAACCACGTTCGCCCAAGCATCGTCACGCGAGTCTCCCCGCTGCCCAGCCCTGCTCGCCAGTGCCTTGTGTAACGACAAGCCGCCAACCGGTCGCCTCTGCAACCCCCCTCTGCTCCCGCTAGCAGCCCATCCTCTGTCTGGGATTGTTGTTTTCTCTTCTCGCCCTCGCTTCCCAAGTCCCTGCCGCCACCCCTGGTCGGGTCCCAAACCATGGGTAACAACCATTCGGCGTCCAACAAGGCGGGCGGGCCTGGGTCGCCTCCGCAGCAGCAGCAGCCGTCGCAGCCAGGCGTCGACTCTCCTCGCCAGCCTCACCACCGCAAGGACGGCTCCCGCAACATCATCCCCATCCACGGTGCCCGCGCCGCTGCCGCCACCGAATCCTCGTCTCTCCAGGCCCAGGGCTCCATTGCTGCCTCCGTGCCCAAGCCCAAGATCGTGCCCGCCACCGGCCTCTCGTCCCTCAGCGGCTCGCCGCATAGCAGCACCGTCTCCTCCGTCGCCAACGCCGCTGCCGCCGTTACCGCCGCCGTCGTCGCCGGCAGCCCTAAGCCGTCCGAGCCGCGGCCCATCCTACGCGACGAACCTTCCAAGCCCGTTGCCGTCCCTATCGAGGGGTCCCTGGCGCGTCCTCATATCCCCGCCGTCCCGTCATATGTCGAGGCCCAGCTCTTTTCCAACAATAGCTTGACGGACGTGTACATGATGCGCCCGCCTCGCCTGCCGCTTCCTATTGAGGAGGAGGTTCATACCCCTGGCTCGCCTATCCTCGGACCTGATGAGAGCCTGGCCGATCTCGAGCTCGGCGAGTCATCCGATGCCTTGACGAGGAAGAGCTCCGCACTTAGCTCTGGCACGGCCGAGGACGACGAGGGCGAGGAGCTACGCGTGGACAAGACTAGGCCGGTCGTTGCCACCAAGATTGAGTGGAGGGGCGGTGGTGAAAAGATTTGGGTTACGGGTACCATTTTCCACTGGAATCGAAAGCTCCGGTTGCGCCCTGTGTAAGTGCCACGATTTCATTAACCTGTGGTTTATAACTCCCATGCAACAGCCATGTCTATGAGCTGTGCTGGGTGCCTGCGTCTCGCTTGAGGTCTCGGGATTTTTCAGCCGCTTCTTTCAAAAATAGAGTTGGTGCCTTAGCACGTGCCTGCAGCGTAGCACACATTTCTGATCTATTTCGGGTCTACTGACACAATTATGCTTCTGTAGCGAGGGCCAGCCAGGTGTTTTTGCCGCCACGGTTCACGTTTTGCCCGGTACCCATCACATCCGCTTCTTGGTCGATGGGATTATGCAGACATCGCCCGACCTCCCCACCACTGTCGATTTTGGAAACAACCTGGTAAACTACATCGAGGTCAACCCCGACGACGTGGTAGCGACCAAACAAGGCGAAGCCGCCGAGGCTGCCGAGGCCGGAAAGGAGAAGGACGAGTCTCGCGCTGACTCACAGTCCAAGGAAGAGCCCAAGGTGGCCAGGGGAAAGCCCGTCTTGCCGCAAGCGGCTTACAACAGTCAGATCCCACAGTACTTACTCGACTTCGACCAGGCTGAGGAGTCGCCAGCCTATCGCAATGCCGTGTCTGCTATAGAGAAGCTGACGACACCGCCGAGCTTGCCCGGCTTCCTGGGCAAACCTATTCTTAACGCTGCTACCCTGATGAAGGATGACAACAGCGTTTTGAACATGCCCAATCATACCGTTCTGAATCATCTCGCTACCAGCAGTATCAAAAACAATGTTCTGGCTGTGTCAGCAACTACTAGATATCACAACAAGGTCAGTCGAAAGCTGGTGGTTAAGGGGAAGATTATGTACTATCTTGGGTGTTTTGCTGACAATCTCTTTGCTCTGTAGTATGTCACTACGATTATTTACAAGCCTACTTCTACGGATGAGGGTTAAAAAGGGTCTCATTATACATTGACAGAAGGGGGAGAAGGCGGATGGCTGGTGAAGACTCTGTTTTGTGGTGTTTGAAAGAGGGTTAATATGTATTATTCTTTTTTGATTTTTTTGCTTCCTTTACCCCCCCTTTTTTTGCTCTCTTTCCTCTATTCACGGAGGAGTGCTCTTTTACTCATTCCTCTTTTATTGCTACGATACGGGTATTTCTTATATGGCATGGTGGAAATCAGCTGCGGGTTATTATATCGCTGGCTTCCGTGGTGAAGCCTGGTGGTTGCAGTAGAGATCCGAGGGGTTCGCAATGAACCAACCAGATAGACAGATGGGCGAGATGTATGAGTCCTCGCACAATTTACAGTGCAGTTTGCTTATCCCCCCCTTTTCACGCTGTATTTCATTGCTTCTTTGTGCTGTCTATTCTTGCTTTATTTTATTTATCTTTGCTTGCGTGTAGTTCTAGTCCCTCCACTCGACGTATACATCGTCCGTTCTGAAGCGCTGCGTACACACGCTCTCTTCGATAGGCGTGCGGTACCCCGTTCTGTACGCCAGCAGCCCCGCATGCGCAATCATGATGCCATTGTCGATGCAGAATCTCTCGTCCATGGCAAAGACGCTGCCGCCTCGCTCCTTGGCCATGCACGCAATCATCTCCTGCAGCCGCTCATTGCAGCCCACGCCACCAACGATGAGGACCTCGCTGCTGCCCACGTGGGCCATGGCTCGCTCGGTGATCTCGACCAGCATGGCGAAGATGGTTTCCTGCAGGGAGAAGCACAGGTCTTCGGTGGTGAAGCCTGCACCGTCGGGGCCGAGTTGCAGAAGTTGTGCGGCCAGGGCCTCTGCGCTGGCAAGGATGCCGGAGAAGGAGCAGTCCATGCCCTTGACGACGTAGGGGAGGTCGAGCAGCTTAGTGCCCTTCTTGGCCAGCTGCTCAATGTTGTAGCCTGGCGCCGGGTCGTTGCTGATGTTGAGGACGCGGGCGAAACGGTCGAGACAGTTGCCCACCGCGATGTCGAGCGTCTCGCCAAAGATGCGGTAGCGCTTCTCGGCGTAGGCGATGACCTGCGAGTTGCCGCCGCTGACATAGAGAACGACGGGGTTGTCGGCGCCCGTCACCTCGCGGCCCATCTCAATATGTCCCACGCAATGGTTGACGCCCACCAACGGCTTGTCCCACAGGAGAGCCAGCGTGCGGGCTCCGATGGCGACGCTCGTCAGCGGTGCGCCCATGCCGGGACCCTGAGTGAAGCAGATGCAGTCGACGTCGTCGGGCGTGATGCCGGCCTCGGCGATGGCGCGGCGTGTAAGTGCGACGAACTCGGTGCGGTGGTGCAGCGCTGTGTCTTTAGGGAGGAAGCCTGTGCCTGGAGGAGAGATGAAGGTATGGCGCAGGTTGGAGAGAATCGTGGCAGAGGTTGGCGTGTGGCGGATGAGGCCGATGCCGAGCTTGTTGGCGGAGCCTTCGCACCCGAGGGCGATCCATGAGGATTTGGAGGTTGCCGCGGCCATGTCTGATGTAGCTGAGGATGTAGATGGAGATGTAGATGTATTAGAGGCGGGTGTCATGGATGTGGAGGTTGGAGGATGCGACACTGGAGAGGAGACGCCGGCAGCAGCCATGCTGGGCGATTGGGAGAGACGGGTAGCTTTTCTCAGTGACTTGCTGTAATCCGCCGGATTTTCGCGCCGGGTCGGCGATGCGTTCTGAGCTTTGATGCCCGGGGGTTGTTGTGACTCTTCACGGAGCGGCTTCCGGGTGGGGGGTATATCACTGTATCGGCCTTGTCTGATAGGCTCTCTTTTGTAGCAGCGGCGCTGTTCTAAAATGCAAAGCAGCAATAGTTTTATCGAAGTACAAAGTCTCGAAGGAAAACAGACACGGCGGCCAAGGCAGAAAGTCTGGGGATCGGGTGGTCGCCTAGCAAGACAGATGGATGATGCATATCACAGCGAGAAATATCAAAAGGAAAAAAAAATGGAGGGGTTCGTCGCTGGGTGTGGTAGCGTAGCAGTGGCCGGAAAGAGAAAATAGCGGGGCGCTGCCATGCCCATGGCTCGCTCACTTGCAGCAAGAGCATCCTTCCCTTTTTGCGCTTTGGCACGCTCCTTCCTGATTCCTGCGACTCTGCCGTTTCAAAGTTACAGTACAGTATGAGTACAGCCTCCGCGAGCTTATGTAAGATCACGATGCTCTCATTTACCCGCCAGTCTGTTTTATTCCCTCTTCCTGCTCCTCCTTGTGCCTTCATACTCCTCCATTCGCCCAGTGTCCATCGTCCTGTCCTCCCGCCAGACGCGCTGCCCTTCTCCAAGGTACCTGGTATACATACCTGTACGACAAACTCGGCGGCCCTGTCGGTAAATCCCCTTTAGCGCTCCCAGGCTCACTGTCATCAACAACCTCGCACTAAAAACTGCCTTTCCCTGGGCTGGCCTGGCCCGCCTTCGGCCCTGTACCACCACGGCATGTACTGTTCCGGTGCGGCTTTTACTGTGCCAATACCTGCCTGCCTGGTAGCTCCATGTCCCATTGAAGTGCGTGCTTCTGCCGCCTGTGTGGGCGGAAATCCCCCAAAAATCCACTTGCAGCCGTTCCCGCGGTCCACATCGACCACTCACTTTCTTTCCCCTCGACTTTTTTCCTTTACCCTCTAGCTGGGAAAAACCACACCAAGCAAAAGAAGAAAAAAAATATGCCCCCATATCCGGGTCGCTGCTTCGATGCAAAATCTTCCATGATGGGGACTGGCTATGAGACATTGGCCGTCTTCCGTCTCGGTTTGTTATGCCCTTGGCTGCAAGGCAGAATCCCCCTTTGAACCTGACTGTACGTCGGCGCCTTTGCTCTTTCGTCAGCCCACAGCTAATGATAGCCTCGCAGCAGACAAATTCAAGACGAAGACACAGACGGAGCTTCTGCTGGCAGCCATGGCCAGCTTCCAGCTTCCAGCGGCCTGCTACCGACTGCTGTCCGCGCCATGGCGACCTCGACCGTCCATCAGAACCGGCGAGCTCACGTTGCGCAGCCTGCTTCCCCTCACGTCATCCGCCCTGGTCGCAGCGAGGTGAGACCAGGCTGCGTCACGACACCGGCCTTGCCAAAAAGCTCGCACAAATAGGACCGGCCGGCATGTCTGGCCAACCCATCGCCGACTCATATACACATCATCACACGAATTGGAGGCTGCGCGAAGAAATATTCATTTCTGGCCAAAGCCAGTTTTGGGTTTCTTGTGAATTTTTTATCTTCATTTGCTCCCGTTGGGGGGGCTTCTTCCTCTTCTAATCCTAAAGAACCGACCCCAACTCCCAACTCCTTGCAATGCCTTGACCAAGGCTAAGGTACTATACATCGGTCGTTTCCATCTACCTCGGAAATATCCTCCCCCCTCCCATACCTCCCCCCCGTCCTGTCCGTTCCTGAGAACCTTTCATATCAGCGTGATTGGAGAAAAAGAAAAGCGGAAAAATTATATACACCTCCACACACCCATACTCATACAAGGATGCAGTACCGGATTTATCGGGGAGAGAGAAGTGTTGTTTATGATGCCGCCTGCGCCTGTTGGGCTGCAGGGGGGTGCGGCGGTTGCGGCTGTTGTTGCGGCTGTGGCGGCGGCGGTAGCACCCGGTTTCCATTTGCTACGCCGTTTACCGCTTCTGGAGGGGCCGTTGGCCTCGCCCGGAAGATATATGGGCTGAGAGGGATGGTAGCCCTAAACTTCAGCGCCCTGGTGTCAAAGGGATCAACCTCATACACTGGAGGTTCATCGTCTTCATCATCAGAATCATACTTCCACCGGTCCGAGTACTCGTACGCGTCTGCCCGAGAGGGTGTCGAGAGACCCCTTCGATCGATCCAGAGGCGTTGGAGTCGGCCGATACGGCGTCGGAACGCCGGCTGATTAGTTTGCGGTGTCTCGTCAATATCTGCACCGCGGAACTGGAATACTGGCAGCTCTAGCTTGTCCAGCTGCATGGGCTCAGGTACGTCATCGACATCCATTGACTCTGAAGAAGTTGACGCCGGCGGCGTCATTAAGTATTGCGTCTTCGCAGGCCTGAACTTGAGCTCCATGCCCAGTGCTTTTACCGGCGAGAGCGGGTCTCGAGTGAGATCAATGTGGTTCTGGTTCCACCTCCGATGATTCTGCACCTTAGTCTCAATCTCATTACGGAGTTCGTTTTCCTTCTCGGCGAGCTGGTCAGAAAGCAGCACAAGGTCTTGTTCGTGCGAGCGTCCATCGGGCCGCACCGGCACCCGGACCTGGGTTGTCGGCCGCTGGGCTCCGGCAGCTTCTACAGGCTTTCGCTTCTGAGACTGTGTGATTCGCATCGTGTCAGTGCCAAGTGGCGTTATACGTGTCGAGGGCCAAGCTGGCCTTGGTTCGAAACATACCTTTTGGTTGACTAGGTCTTCGTCGTCGCCCTTGATGCCCAGTTTTGTCTTGATTTGCTTTAGGCGAGCCCTTTCTTCGAAGATGGCCCGATCCATCTGCAATAGATCTCGCTTCATCATCTCTCGCTCGTATGCCAACAGCACAAGCTGGCGGCCATCCTCGAGCTCGCGACGGAAACGCTTGAGCGTCTCGGCGATCTTGGTATCTCTGGACCTTGTTTTCCTTGTCTGTCTAACCTCCCGCCGTCTGAAGCAGACGTATGGGTCGGTATCATCAGTCTCTTGGTGTGTTTCAAACTTGATTGTCGGGTGCAGTGGTTTGTTTCCTTCCTCCTGCCGCTTGGACTTCCAATACTCGTATATCTGCTTGGCGTGCAGCAATATGGATGCAGAGCCAAGCTGATTGAGGCCGGGCACCATCATATCATAGCCGACAACAGTATTGTCGACTGATGCAAACGGCGTTTGCTCTGTGGCAGTGTCTTCGAACACCTCCATGATGCGTTCGAAGTCATCCTCATTGAGCGTCCCGGCGGCGGGAGGATTACTATTATATGATTTGAGAAATTCATTGTCATCGGCTGTCATGTCATATTGACAGCTAATGCATTCCTCCACTGTCTGAGAAAATCGGATATAAGAGGAAGGTTTGTGAAAGGCTGCGGGATAGAGGCCATCATAGCTGATGTCGCTTTCTTGCGGTGGAGGCACAGGAATTTCTTGATCATTGCTTGTGCCCGCCTCTTTTAGAATGGATTGAAGATGGTATTCCTACAGAAAGAAGAAGAAAAAAAGAGAAGAAGTCAGTATATATTGCTTTTGAAAAAGAAAAAAATGGAAGAAGAGGAAGAAGTGAAGAAAAGAAAGATGATATAAAAAAAGAAATGTGATGAAAGAGAAAAAAGAGTGAAATCGAGTAAAATGAAGGGAAAAAAAAAGAGGATTGATCAAATACTAGAGTGAGATATATGAGGATGGATGATGCCATCATATATGCAGCACTCCGTATAGGCCATCACCACTTATACGCTGGTAGGCAAATGCGAGGTAGGCAAAGGTGAGGCAAGGAGATGCCACGTGACCAGCCACGTGATATCAGAAGTTGCGGTGGCGTGGATATGGAGGGAAAAGGACTCACATTTTCCTCAGTCTGGTCGACTCCGGTCGCGATTTGCGACTCGGTGAGGAGTGATTCATACTCAGTAGCATCGATCTGATCCTCTCTGAGCACGGGAAGAGTGGTTTTGACCGTCAACTTCTTGACTCGGACTTTGCGGGATGACATGTTGCCAGGGTGGTGAAGGACGGCAGAAAGCCAGCGGAAAATCCGCAAAAAAAAGAGATCAAGTCATAAATCGAGACGTCCGCAGTCGCCTGTTGATAAAAGATGGACGATTTAGGCGTTGTGGTTTGGGTTTTTTGATGGCTCAATGCTCGCGTTCGATGAGGTGACGTTGAGGTTGTTTTGCCGCGCGAAGATTTTTCACTGGTGCAAAGCCTGGAAATTTGCGGCTGTTTGATGGCAGCGCTGGTCCGCTGGCAAGTCACGGCGCCATAGTATTTGGCGGGCGCGGGTACATTGGGGCGCTCGGGCCACCCCCTCCTTTTGGCCTCCCTCTCCCCTGAAGTCGCAGCAGGCCCACGCGCTGCGCTGCAAAAGCGGCGGGCGGTGGTGCCTACGGCATTCGCACACTGGGTGAGGCGCGCCTCTGGTTGGCTGGGTGGCGGGCCACAGGTGCCCAAAACGCGCCCAGGCAGCCGGTGATGAGCCGAAAACGGGCATGGCGGGGTTTTACTTAGGTAAGCAGCCAAGCAAGCACCAGCACAAAGGAGCTGTGACGAAGTAGATTTCTATTACATGTATGGAGTATGGAGTACGGCCGCTTGCAGATAAACCGTGTTCGGGTATTGGCGTTACAGTAAGCTGCTTATACTCGGAGTTCATCTCTATGACGTCCATCCAAATTGGCAAGTTGCATGCCTTTTTTGTAGCCATAAGGTTCGGCCAACGGGTTATAAGCACACATAGAGTTCTGCCAGGGAGGTTAAATCGCCAACTCTATCTTGCATAATGACAACACGGTGAATGCTTTGCTTTTTGCCATGAAAATCATCTGCCGTATCCGAAAGCTAGATATTCAAATAGGGCATATGCAAATGTATGAAGCTATTTTTAATGATATTTCTTATTATTCACTTCTTTCTCGCAAGATTGAATTGTTGTTTCTCGTATTAAAGAGCAAGCAACAGCGCTTACATACTCTTCTAGATGCAATCTCAAAGAATGTGGTCCGTGCACATGACCAGCTACCCCTCTAGGAGAATGCGGCCTTGCATCGTAAATAATACATGCCTTACATACATACAGACGACATTCATGGCTGCAGATTCATGACCGCTACATACCACAACTACTAGTATCTTCACACCCGCCAACTCCCCGCTGCGTTTCCTCCTCACACCGTCTATCGAGATTCCTCTAGCGCAAGAGTCGCTGCGCCTGCATCATGGGCAACACCACCAGTACCGTGCTGGACAACATTGTCCAAGGGTCCAACTGTAGGCTGCCGCCTCCCCCTAAGAGCACAAACTCCTCCGCTAATACGGCGTCGCATAGTCGATAGAGAAGAAGTCGACCGGTTAAGGAAACGTTTCATGAAACTCGACAAGGTACGAATGAACAAGGAGAACCTGCGCGGCGGATCGTGGCCAGCTTCTTTGTTGGGCTGCCGCCGATGCATTGGACAAGACGAGGCTGGGCAAGACTGGACACGCGACTAACTGCTATTCTACTGCAGGACAACTCTGGCACAATCGAACGAGACGAATTTCTTAGCCTTCCTCAAATCTCCTCCAACCCGCTTGCGACACGGTTCGATCTGCCCCCCCTTTCACCTCTTCCCCGGCGATTTCATACACCGCTTGCACTCCCCACCCCCCTGATGGGTTCACCACTAACATAGATGTTCCAGTATGATCGCCATCTTCGACGAGGACGGCGGCGGCGACGTTGACTTCCAGGAGTTCGTGTCGGGCCTCAGCGCCTTCAGCAGCAAGGGCAACAAGGAGCAGAAGCTGCAGTTCGCCTTCAAGGTGTACGACATTGACCGCGATGGCTACATCAGCAACGGCGAGCTCTTCATCGTGCTCAAGATGATGGTGGGCAGCAACTTGAAGGACCAGCAGCTGCAGCAGATTGTCGACAAGACGATAATGGAGGCCGACTTGGATAAGGATGGAAAGATTAGCTTTGAGGAGTTTACTAAGATGGTGGAGAATACGGATGTGAGCATGAGCATGACTCTAGGTGCGTTTTCTTTTATCATTTTTCCCTTCCATCGCTTGTACCTTGCATGTTACGTTTTGCTGAGAGGGCTGTGATGTGCTAACTATTGACGATGCAGACCAATTTTAAATGTCCATGGAAGATGGGAAAAAGGGGCGGCGTTGGGTCTCGGGTAGACACCAACGAGAGCGAATGCTTGTGGATAATGGAATACAGCAGTTATGATAATGAATATCTACATTCGATTTCTTCAAACCATGCATGCAAGGGTTTCTACTTTGCCTTGAGACACATATCTCAGGAAAACGAGGCCATTCTACGGCCGAATGCATTCTTCATTCGTGCAAGATGTGTGGCTGCTATGGACACAGGGGATCCCCGAAGTCCAAAAAAAGGAGAGACACTGACTTCATAGCCGTCCACCAGACCGCCCTCTGTCTTGTGTCTCGTAGCTTCTCTTTGGCGACTGGTGCAATGCGGGAAACTTTTTCAGGCCAATCAATCAAAGTGCACACGCATAGCACTCTTTTTTGGTTAAACATGGCTGACCCAAAAGCGGTATTGGATCACCGGATTGGCAAACGTTGGTGTTTTTTTTTTGGGCCGAGACAGATGATCACAGGAATAGTCTCTTAGCAGCTGGTGGATTCTTGCTTGTTCTGCGCTGCGCTGTTGGAGTTTGGATGAATGGGTTTGCTTGGTGTTGCTGGGCCTCTTTATTGTTTACTCGGCGCATTTTTTTAAACCCGGAGATTTACTCTGCCTCTCTCTTGCAACGTACATTATTGTTTGTCGTTTACTTGAGCGTTGAAAGGGGTAGTATATATGGACATATGAAGCTTGTCGTACGTACATCTACCATACGAAAGGGACTGGATAGAACTTGATCCAGCCATTATGCACACCATTGAAGTAAATACCTGTAGTAACGGCATCCCTGATATCGATACTGAGGCTATTTGAGGCTATTCGACGGTTGGGGGGCACATGATGGTTTTGTCTCGGCCTCTCTGTGCCATATTTGCCACGGCAGTATGAAGTAGCAAAAAAGCAGGTTCAGTAGATGGTATTTTGTTTACTCGAGTAAAAGATCATCTCAAGAGATATGGTGCGGGAAAAGTGGCCGTCGCTATTGAGTCATTTTATCATGTCGATGGAGAGATGTTGCTGCAACCTGAGCGTGCAATTCGCCCCCCCCCCCCCCCCCCCTTTCCGAATTCGCTTTTCGCTCTCCTTAACTTGAGTGAATGCACCTCTTCTCTACATCGCTGTACTCTTTAAAAGCACCTACTAGGTACCTAGCATCCATACCTAGGGCCTTCCTTCTCTTCTGATTGGAGCATCTGTCATCACCGCTTTCCACACACCATTCCTTCCTTCTTTCCCTCTCTCCTTCTCTCCTCCCCTCTCCCACCTGATTCTACTAACAAGGTACCCAACTCATTTAGCAGTAAATTCAACGTTAATTGCTAAGATAAGAAGGTACATAGCAATGACAAATCTCCCCCCCTCTCCCCCCTCTTCTTCATCACATTCCTCTTCTCTCATCCACTCCATTCATCCTCTCTCTCATTGCTTCAGCGTGTCAACTTTCTCCTCTTCATCCGCATCTACAAACTCGGCACAACCAGCAACACAATACCTAACCCGTCGGCAGTACTACCAGGCAGTACCTTGTCTTTCCACTGCCTTAGCAGCAACCAGCAGGATCTGGGGGGATCAGCGCGTTGTCCCACTGCTGGCAAGTAATGCACTCCCTGCTCTGCCAACCCCTGCTCAAAACTGCCGTCACATGCAGAAGGTCTAGATGAAAATTACGACAGATCGGAAATCGGCTCTTGACAAGCTGCATCTCGGCAATGGCTCCAAAACGGCCCCGAGCCGGGTTTGAGATGACGTCTTACACGCCTGTCCATGATATCTGGGCTATTTACCACAACAAGAAACCGACTGCAAATAAACCACCATCAAACCGGGCGAGTTGCTATCATGACTGGAGACAAAGGTCCTTTCCACCCCTGGCTTCTGGCATCTGACCAGCCTCGGCAGAGACAAAGCAATAGCAGCTGGTGGTTACATGCAACCCAATTGAGACACCATGGCGAGTATTACCCTCGGCGCACTCTAGACGCCCGTCGCTATACACCAGCTAAACTCAGGTGACTCCTGGGTGGCTTCTCTCCTCGCCTCACCAATGCGTTGGCTGCGAGTTGCTGCCTGTGCTGCTTGCCAAGCGTTCCCATATCTGCAGCTAGCAGCTTTTTGTTTATGCGTCCACTCATGATTGCCGACAGCCCCGGCTTATGGCCCAGAAGATAGGCAGCGCTGTGACAGGGCAAGGGGAATATCCTGATTATGTTCCCGCTAGATGCTCAGCCGGTAAGCCGCACACTTTCTCCGACGTCAAAATCTCAGCAGCATATTTAACGTTACCCCATGAAACGCTAGCATCAGCTGCTCCCCTGGTTCTAGCCCCAGCCCCCGTCGTCTCACTTGAGAGCTACAGCCGCGTTTTCCAAAATACCATGTGAGGCTTCTGCCCTCTTACGACGCACATGAGATATGAATTTGTCATGTGCCACCAGTAGGCTTCCGGGAGCAATATCCGGGCCAAGCTGGGTTCGGGACCGGGCGTATCCCCGGCGGGAATCCTACCTGGATGCAGCCATCCTCGTTCTGGGCTCGTTCTGGCCCGTAGATGACATACGGAGAGGCTCTAGCACAAACATGGGGGACGTCATATGGCATCGTCAATCGCCCTACCCGGCTGCTACTCTCCCGGGGCCCCTTGGATACAGAGACTGACGACTGTCTGATATAAGCGGCGGTATTCGACTGCAAGACATTATGCTTGCTCCAAGCAACAAAAGTCCCAACAAGATTACACAGCGCTGGTAGGATACATAACCTCGTGTTTCATTCGCAGGCTTCAAGCTTTCCAAAGTCTGCTTGCTATCTAGACTGTTTGCTATGTACCTAGTAATTAGCAACTTGCGTGCCGCCTCCAGCCGGCTGATGCTGCCCTTGAGGACCCAGACCGACCATATTCTAATCAAATTGTCTAAACGTGATACACTCAGTAATACATATGAATAGAACGGAGAAAAAAGGAAACTTTTGGTGGAAGTCTTGCACAAGCCTCTCGTTATTGTTCGAGTCGAGGTGGTGAGAGAAATTAGGAGAAAACAAAAACGAGGGAAAACGAAACATGAAAAACCAGAGAAGCAATTGCCAGTCTCACGTCTTTGCCTGAAAGCCCGACATCCAACGCCACCTGTCTAAAACATTCGGTCCTCGCAGGCTTTTGCCTGCTCCCGCGGTTGTCCTGCCCATGTTGTCTACCAAAATACCCGTTCAATTTCCACACTGTCGTACCAATTCGCCAGAAAACCGCTCGCCTGTGAGCTGCACTCCAATAATAGTATCATGGCATTCCTTACCATTCTATGCCCGCTTGTGTTGCATTCGACGTGTTTGTAGGTGCCTCCGTGGAATGTTTGCGTGTCCGTGTGTATGCAGGTTTACCAGCGCCTCTCCAACGGACCAGCCTATCCAAGCGGAGTCATTGGAGCATACAAACATATCACTTGATACGCTGTGCCACTGGGCCTTTCTCCCTTGCGCCCTACTAAACACAGGCCTGATCCAAGAGACATGCATCAGGCCCCTCCCAGAAAAGCAAGAATCCCAATTTCCATCCATCCATCCATCCATCCATCCCGTAACCCATAAGACCCAGTTATGAAACCTCTCCTCCATGTTATCCCTCCCAGATCTAACCCAGTTGATATTCATATTTCCGCTATTGTAGAGACCGTGCCGAAAGTTCCCATCGTATAATGTACACTTCCCAAGCCGCTAGAAATGCAAGGGTAGTAAGTAGCAAAAAGCAGAAAAAAAAGAAGGAAACAAATCGAAAAAACAATTGGACAGCCATCTTTCTCTCTGGCATCGCATTAGAGGAACTGATTTATCTCAATCGTTCGTAAGCGTAGTAGTAGTATTTTGCATGGGCGGATCAGCGAGATCCTCCGCTTGTACCGGCGGCCGCTTCGAGAGAGTCGTAGAGATCGAGACATTCTTCAAGAACTAGATGGTCGATTAGTACACCTTTATGCAACCGATAAGAAGATGAGAGGAATGGCATACCCATCTCGATTCGATCCTCCCACACGCCGTACTGGTAATCAACTAGACCGTGGCTCTCAATGCCATCGCAAAGTCGAACAAGCTCGTCGCCCAGTTTCTTTATGGTTTCCTGGGACATGACCTGCTGTGATCTTGACAACTGCTGACCTGATGACATGATTTCTTTCTGTCGAAAACAAAGGGCTAACCACGCATGGTTAAAGTCGTTCCACAGTTTTATTCTCTCGGCGTGAAGGCTGGCGTCATCTTGGCTGAGCCCTGTTCCGCATGTAAGCACAATGTCAAGTTCAACCATCTCGCTCTCTTCGTACCTAATTCTGCCACCTGCGTGAGCAACCACCCAGAGATATTGAGGAGAGTTTCGGCAGCTCTTTCCAATGAAACGGATGAGATGTCCTGAAATACAGATCCCAGTTGTCGTTGGTAGTTTTGCCACTTCTCTTGAAGCCCGGACGTAGCGTAGTCTTCTTGCCCTTCTCCCATGGCGGATTCCGCTGCTCCCGAGGTCTGCTGCATGGCGCCTGTAGCAGGCATGCCACCTGCATAATTCATGGGTTGGCTCTGCTGATATACCCCAGCTGATGCGCTGCTCCCCTGGCTCGGGTGCTGCATGCTTGCTGCTGCCGCACTGCCTGCTTCGGGATTAAAGTATGTTGATGTGACATCCGGTGCCATCATCTGCATTGCTGCCTGCTGCCGTTGTCCGAATTGTTGGGCGTCGTAGACTGGAGTTTGCGTGTTCGGCTGAGGCACGTTGTACATCATCATACCCGTGTTGTAGCCCCCGAAACCCTGAGTTTGTGGTCTCGAATCGGCGCCGTATTCCGACCCGTACGCCATGGCCGTCGTTGGCATGTTTGTCGGAGTTGAGAATGCGGCGGCGGGTTCTTGGTAATATGTACTGTATGTCGGCGCACCCCCCAAGCCTCTTGGAGTTGAAGGAGATGCAAGGGGCGCTGTCCGATAGCGCTCAGAGGAACCGCCTACAGAGCCCTGAACCGAATATCTCTGTGCAGGAGCGTGATGGGTAGGCGGGTCATTCTGCCTCCTATGTTGGTTGCGGTTGTCCATGCCCCGATGGGCCTTGTCGTAAGAAGCCTCTCGATACGCTGGGGAGGCAGTGTTGTTGGAGTAGGATGGTATAGAGTCAAGATGAGCCCCTTCCAAACCGTGCGTTCGAAGGGTTTAAACGAATGGCTTTTTTGATCAAAACGAAAGTCTGGTGAATTAAACGAGCAGTGCGAATCGACAAATGATTGTGGGCAGCTACTGGAAAGTGGTGGGTGGGCGTATGGATCAAGTCTGCTAATACGGTGATCCTATACGAGCTGCGACTAGAGACGTTAAACACTCAGTTCAGAACGAGAGTAAAGGTAAGCTAGGCGGACAAGCTGAGAGACCGATGTCATAGCCTGCTAACAAAGCTCATCAAGCCTCGAGAGCCGACTCCTCCAGCAATAGGAAGAAAATGGTGTGAGAGTTTTTTCCCGGCTCAACGAGGTGTTGTGACGAATACAAAGACGGCTACTCTCTGGCAAATTCGCAAATTCTCAATGGCGGGCTTGCGGAGCCAACGGTCTAGTTCCTCATGCCCCAAATGGCAATACGTCAGGGACCGGGCGCCAGAGAGGCGTAGGTTCCACCAGCTCGACCTAGTCTGAGACTCCGGGACACACCGGCTGCCTGTGTAGAAGATGTTAGGTAAATAACGACAGGTTGTTGGAGGGGTGAAAGGGCTTGGAACCGAGCCGGGACGATTCAAGGTGGGAATTCCTGTAGCGAGATTTGGGGAAGACGGCATGTTATTCTCCTCGTAATATTAGATGCTTACCCTTTCTAAATCTGACAGAGTGGGCTCCCAGGAAATAGCACAAGCAATCCAATGAGCGAGGTAGGGAGGCCTGGGTCAATGATAGATTGACAAGGACAGAGTCTTTGCCAATCAGAGGATGTATGGGGGAGTGGGAAGTGTGACTATGCAAAGAGTTGATAACGTTGGTGAGGATGCAAACTTGATTGAGATCCCGAACAGCGGGGATTCGACCGAGAAACTAGTGGTGATACTAGATGAGTAAATCGATGGAGCCTTGTTGGAGACCGACGGGTGACTGGCGTTGGAGGAATCATCGGGTCTTATACCGAGGGGGAACTAGTTGACAAAACTGTCTGCACGCTAATAAAAAAAAAAAGAGGGAGAAGGGGAGGAAACGAGGTAAGAAAGAGAAAACGACAAGCAGGAGGCAAGAATGCAAAAGTACAGGTGTGTACTTCCTCCCTAGGATGTGGTAGACCATGTACTCGGTGGGTGTGTGGGAGGGCGGAGGACGGAGGACGGAGCACAGGAAAGAGGGACGTCAGCAGCATGCAGTTTAAGTGCGCCGTCTAGGGGTCCAGACATGTGCGGCAAATCATAAATGCAGAGCAGGGCTGTTTGTCAATAGCGAAAGGTGAAAGCCACATTGGCCAAAACAAGCACTTGGTATGACCCGGGGTGCTGGGCACGTCGTATTCTGTACCTTGCGTTGGCCCTAGAAGGACTTGGGGCGATACAGCCGGTAGACTGTCACTAGTCTGCAAGGCTAGAGGTGAGAGTTTGGTTTGGATTGTCGATTTGGTACCTATTATTTGGGATCTGCGTGTGGCCACCCCCTGGTCATCCGGCACGGCGGAAAAGAGACTTCGTTCGTGGACCAGCCAGGGGTGGCCTCTTCGGATGGGTCACGAACGAAAGAGATATCGGACAGGTGACAGGGAAGGCACTACACACCCTGCTTTGTTCCTTTCGTATACAGTACGCATAGAAGGAGACCATAAAACCAATAGGTGAGTAAGTGTTGCTTCAAGACTTACAATTGGGCAAAATGCCCATGTGAAAATTCAGACCTGCTGAGGGTGGAAACAAAGAAGTCGAGGTGCTCTCCGCCAGAGACCACATACACGAAACAGAGTGGGTTCGCATCTTCAGTTAGTGGATGGGCACGGCGACGGTTTAGGCTTGGCAGCATGATTCGGCACTCTCGTCTTTTTTGCTTAACAGAATCCTGTGGACGAGGCTCATTCCTGTCGTCTGGAGCATGAAGCGTTGCCTGTCGGAACACAACCCGCCTACCAGGTATTTGATGAGCCGGTATTTAGTGATGCGAATACAGTAAGCCAGCGGAAGCCGCACAATCCTTCCGCCCGCGTCCATTCACCGATGGCTAGAGAAATGCCGGCGGATGTAACAAGTGTGTCATTGTTCATGCATGCAGCATTAGTAACCATTGCCATTCTTCAGACGAATGGGCATTGCAGGCAGGGCGGAAAATAGAAACGGCAAGTCACCGCATGACAGCAACCTGGGGCTTTTGCATGAATAAGGGCGTCTGAGACGCTTGGCTGTCTTGTTTACCACCCTTGGATTGGGCTGGATCATCCACAGCAAAAAGGCCGCTGAATAATGACGCATAGCCCAGGCCGACCAGGGATTTGTTGAGATGGCACTCCCTCCAATAGAGCACGTGTAATCACATTGCTTCTCTGGTAGAAAGGGCCTCGCCGGTAAGCCAGCGGAAACGTCTTCTGTTGTGGGCGTCAGACCAGACGTGGCTAAAAGCGTATAGTATGTATGACGGCGCTTGGTGGCCGGCCGTTTTGCCGTGGCTCCAGGCCCCAGTAACCTGGCAGCCAGTGGTCTGCTTTCGAGGTTAGCCCATTACACGGGGATGACCGAGGTTTCAATGCCCGCGGGCAGGCTGCCCTCCAGCTCGCCATTACGGCCCTCCGTTCGATCAAAAACAGCAGCATGTCAGCTGCCAAGGAGGAAATTCCCCGTTCAGTGACCGGCGATTAGGGTTGTCGCAGGCGATCCAGGCCTGATGAGAAGCGTCCCGACAACCCGGGTCGTCCCAACTGGGCGAGACACACAATGCCGTGGAAATGAGGTGAGGGGGGTCGTCCTTTTCCTGCTGACTGGTTCAAAGTACCTGCATGTCTCAGTCAGAGTACTGCAGTATTCTAGGATACCGAATGCAAAAGCAGATCACGAGACACGACGCCCATCTTTCACATGTACTACCCACGAGTGAAGCAAAAGATCTCTGATCTAAGACAATGCCGAATATTCTCTAGCTGGTGTCGCTTGGTGAAGGTACACACCCCTTGAATCGACACGCCCGTCGGACAAGCCACCTGCAAGGGCCTTTGGCAGATGGAGCTGAGTTTAGAGGAGAGAAAATTGGCGACAAGAGAGGGTGAGAAGGAGAAGAAGACGAGCAGAAGAGGTGTCTACTACCTGGTAGGTTAGAAGGTACCATGATTTGGAATTGCGAGATGCAGACCGGAGTACTGGATCTCACTTGTACAACCCATGGTCAATTGGTGGTACCACCACACTGGTAGTCGTAGAGGTAGCTCAGCTGCACAACTGATGCCAACATGTACGTGACTGGAATCCCTCGATCAGGTACATCTCATATTCTCATACTCTCATTCCCTCACAGGAGGTACTTGTCCGGGGCACGTGAGGATTTCTTGTCGTTGAAAGGCAGGAGCAGCGGTAATCATCTTGGCACATTCACTCGGTGGAGAAATCAGGAAGGCACTTCCCAAAGGGTATTTTGCACAGCTACGTAATCCATGGTGCTGCGCCATCTTTCTTTTTCTCTCTTCTAAGGGTTTCCTCTCGTCAGATTCGGTCTGCATTCTCAGTCTACATTCTCAGTCTATTCCCTTCCTCCTCGCCACGACCAGGAACAGGGAACGGGGGATTAGGAGGAATTTCGATCTCGGAGTGGAGGCCAGAGCGGGAGGCCATGTGCAGCGTGCGTCAAAGTCCACAGCTCAAGTGCCTTTTCCTGGACAGGCCTTGCTGCACGCAAATCCCGGCCGCAGCCAATCTGCGAGCCCGACGCAGGCAAATACAGGAAAAATGCAGCTCGCTAGGGCCGTGCTAGAGGCGAGCCATCGGCCTGGTCCACAGCGACTCCATCGACAAGCAGCCATTAGGAGGCCCAAAAGCCAGTGTGGAGATGGGTTCAGTCTTGTGTAGCGTGGGCAGCTAGGAATAAATTTTATTGGAACCTCTGATCCATGTGCTGCTGAGGAGAGAGAGAGGCGAAGAAGAAGAGAGAAGGGAAAGAGAAAAAAAAAAAAAGCGCTTAGCTTCTGGCCAGATGTTGGTCAATCTGCAGAGTCGTCAAGAGGGAATGGGCGTATACGCAAGGGCAATGCCGTCGGGAGCACTAACGGAATCGAGAAGGGATTATGCCGTCAATCTACGAGTACGGAGCACGACCATAGTCAATGCCTGTCAGCAGCAGCTGTTTCGGTGGGTTAATAATAGCAGTGCGAGTAATCACAGTCACAAGCGCGAGGCTGTTCCGACTCGCACGAAGCACGAAGCACGAAGCACCTCGGATGGTCTACAAAGCCGCTCAGCCCAAAAAAAGCAACATTGATGATGTCGAGAGTGAAGCGCCCACAGGACTTGGACGCATGATATTGATTATGGCATGCGCCATTTCTGGTTGTAGGACCTCGGGGAGTGGTCTGATGTCTCACATGCTCGAGACAGCTCTGCTTGTGCTATCTCGTTTGTTGCAGTGGTGACAGTGATACTACTACCTTCGGAGTATTGCTGCTACCACTACGAGATACCACCAGGGGTATGATTGGTATTACTTCTGAACAAGCTCCTCGGGCATTCACGATGTACACCCAGCGCAGCAGAAATGGGTGGCACGAACTAATAATCTCGTCTGGCTCGCCCAAAGTGAATAAGGACTGCCCGCGGATCGGATGCCGTTTTGAAGCTTGCATATACGAGTACTTACGCGGAACAGGGCAAGCATTGATGCCCAGCCAGGAGGCTTGACGCAAGGAGTACAGAGTACAGTAGGAGAGATTGGAGATGCCTCAAACATGCATCCGAAGTACGTATCAACAACTGCAACTACAAGCCTTTCACGTCACCAAAGAGGCTAATGCCCAGCATTCAGCTGCGCTGTGGAGCATTTAAAGGTAGAGTCGAAAGAACTGATCCTGGTCGTGTTTTACCCCAGCTGTCTTTTACTCACTCCCCTGCTCCAACA